GCCGCGTACGCGGCGCGGTCCGCGGGCGCGCGCGACGGCGCGGCGGCGGCCGCCGTGCCCCTCGCGGCGCGCGCCGTCGCCCTCGCGGCGCTCGCGGACCAGCTCGACGAGGTCGCGCGCCGCGGCGGCCGCGTCGGCGACGGCGCGGCCGCGGCCGCGCGGCGCGCGGCGCGCGCGCTCTGCGGCGCCTGCGCGGACGCGCACGCGCTGCGGCGCCGCCGCGGCCTCGAGACCCGCGCGCCCTGGTTCGCGCTCGCGCTGCGCGCGGGCAAGCGCGCGGCCGCGCGCGTCGCCGCGAGCCTCGCCGCGCGCGACGCCGCGGACGCGGCCGCGCGCCACGTCCGCCTCGAGGACCTCGACGCCGTCGCGCCGCCCGCGGGCGACGCGGCCGTCGACTTCGGCGGCCCCAAGTCCGGGCGGCTCTGGGCCGCCTTCGCGGGCCCCGGCCTCGCGGCGGGCGCGCGGGGCCGGCGCGCGGGCCTCGACGCGCGAGCCCGCGAGCTCGACGCGCTCGCGGGCGCGCCGCGGCGCGAGGCCCTCGCGCTCCCGCTGGACCTCGCGGCCGTCGACTTCCCCCCCGGCGCCCGCGCGGCGGGCCTCTTCGGCGCCGCCGCGCGCGGCGGCGGCGCCGGCCTCGAGGCCGCGGCCGACGCGCTCCGGCGCTGCGACCGCGCGTGCGCGACGCTCGAGCGCGGCCGCGGCGACGCGCCGCGCGCGGACGCGGCGCGCTTCGCGCTCGTCTGCGACCTGTTCCTGCGGCGGCTGCCCGCGCCGCGGCCGCCGGGCCGCGGCGGCTTCTGGGCCGGGGCCCCGCGCCGCGAGACGCAGCTCGACCTCCTGCGGTCGCTGCGGCGCTGCGCGCTCCACGCGGCCGCGGCCGCGGCGGCGCTGCCGCCGTCGCGGCGCCTCGACGGCGAGCGCGTGCTCTGCGTCGCGGCGATCGCGGCGATCGCCGACGCCGTCGCGCGCGCCGCGGCGTCGGACGCGCCGAGCCCGCTCTCGGCCTTCTACGGCGCGCACGCGTGCGCCGCCGTCGCCGACGGCGCCGAGCCCTTCGGGTTCCTGCCGCGCGACTTCGCCGCGGACACGGGCCGCGCGCTGCTCTGCGACCCGGACCTCGTCGTCGCGCGGACGGCGCTCCTCGACTACTTCCGGGAGATCCGGCGGCTCGTGCCGCCGCGGAACCGCGTCTTCGACTGGGAGGCGACGGCCGCCGACGACGCCGCGGGCGACGGCGGCGGCGCGCTCGCGCGGCTGCTCCTCGGCGCGCGCGGCGCGGGCCAGGCGCCGGCCGGCGGCCTCTTCCTCGGCCTCGGCGACGCGCGGCTCCTCGACCGCCTCGCGACGTCGCTCGGCTACGCCGTCGCGGCCGGCGGCGCGAACCTGCCGGACTACCTCGCGGGCCGCGACGGCGCGCTCCTCGACGACCTGCCCGAGCTCCGCGACCTCCGCGACGTCGTCCTCGTGCTCAAGGCCTGCACCGCGGCGACGGCGTGCTGGGCCGCGGGCGCGGGCGGCGACGCGGCGCCGCGCTGGTCGCGCGGGGGGCCGCGCGGCGGCGACGAGCGCGCGCGGCGCGAGTACCGGCTCGCGCACTTCGACGCGCGGCTCTGCGACGCCGTCGGCGCGCCGCTCCGGTGCGGCTTCCTCGGCGGCGACGCGGACCTGGCGACGCGGCCGCCCGGCGGCGACGACTCGGACGACGACGACGGCGGCGGCGGCCGCGCGCCGGCGGGCTGGCGCGGCGCGCTCGCGCGGGTCCGCGCGGCCCTCGCGGGCTACGCGGCGCCGCGGTGCCCGCCGAGCGGCGGCGACCCGAGCCACCTCGCGGGCGAGCTCGTGGCCACGGAGGACGACGTGCTCCACCTCCCCGCGCTGCCGGGCGACCTCGGCGCCGCGCCGCGGCCGAGCCCCGGCGAGGCGCGGCTCCTCGCCGGCGACACCGCGGCGGCGCGCGCCGCGCGCCTCGAGGCCGAGGCCGCGCGGCTCGCCGCCGCGGGCGACGGCGGCGCGCTGCCGCCGCGCGACGTCGAGCGGCTCCTCTGCTACCTCACGGCGCCCTACCTCCGCCTGCCCCTGGTCCTCCGCTTCTTCGCGGACGCCGTCCGCGTGCGGAGCCTCCGCGACGCGCGGCTCCGGGCGACGCTCGACGCCGTGCTCTTCGAGTGCGGCGCGTGGCTGCCCGCGGACGCGGCCGACGACGCCGTCGACGCGATCCCCGCGCCGCACCGGCGGCTGCTGCGCACGCCCTGCGGGGCCCTCTTCAACGAGCTCGTCATGAGCCCCGGGCCGACGTGCACGGCCGTGGCGCGCCTCCTCGACCTCGCGCTCGGCCTCGACGCCGGCCGCTGGGCGCCGCGGGGCGTCGCGGAGCTCGTGCTCTTCGCGACGCGCGTCGCCGCGCGCGCGCTCTCGTTCCTCGCGGCGCTGGACCCCGCGCCGGCGCGGGGCGGCGGCCTCGGCCGGCGCGGCCGCGCGGGGCTCGCGGCGGCGCCCCGGGGCCTCGAGGACCCGGCCGACGGCGGCGACGCCGCGCGCGACCAGCGCGGCGCGGCGCTCGCGGGCCTCCGCGACGCGCTCGCGGGCCGCGCCGCGCCCGCGCTCCGGCGCTGGCTCCCGGGCCTCCTCGCCGCGGGCGACCGCCTCGGCCTCCGGCGGGCCTGCGCGGTCCACGCGCACGCGCTCCTCGTCGCCGCGGCCGTCGCGGACGCGGGCGGCGGCGACGCGCGCGGCGACGTCGTCGCGCTCCTCGGCGCGCAGTGCTTCCTCGGCGCCTACGACGACCGCGCCGACCGCGACGACGTCGCG